GTGAATCAGTAACTAGTTGTTTTTGCACACTAGGATGCAATAAAATAAATCATTTCATAAGCGTTTTTACATTTCAAAAATTGTAAATACCAATATCTTTTAAAAATAAACTATTTTAGGTCATGGCCAATTATAATCACTCTGGCATGCTCATCCCCTTGACAGGAAATGGCCAAAGCAGAGGGCCTCTGGAACTTGTTTTTGCCAGCTGTAAGCGGTCTCAACCAGGTGGACTATGCCTTGATTGCTGAGGAAACAGGGAAATGCTTTTTTGCTCCAGATGTCTTCAACTGCCAAGCACCAGGTTACTACATCATCTAAAAACAGATGTTCTCAGATATTTTGAGCAGTGTTTAAAATTTCTCTATTTTATGACAAGGAAGCTTTTTTTTTTTTTGCTTTTTTTTTTTACATAAAGTCATTGATTTATAAATTTGTCTATAATTTTACTTTTCAGTTACTTTGAGTTAAATATTTTAAAAAATGGATCTAATGGTCTCAAGGTATTACTCTTCTGTTAAACATCATTACATGAAGAGTGTTGGTGAATAGGAGCTGCCACAAAGGGATTGGCAGAATAAGGATTGTAGTTTTTTGATTGGGTATTGGCTATGTCTATGGCTAGTTGGAATGGCTAGAGAATTCCAAATCTTTTGGTTAACCTCACTATTTCTCTACTTATTCACCAATTATATATTGATTACCTACTATATGCAAAGCACTGTTCTAGATAATTTGGGATATATCAAAGAATGAAATATACAAAGATTCCTGCCCTCGTGGTGCTGGTAGTCTAATGGAGGGAGACAAAAATAAAGAATCTAGTAAACAAGTAAATTATATAGTAAATTTGAAGATGAAAAGTGCTTTGTAGAAAAAAAAACCAGCAGGATAGGGGAGCTCTGGAATGCTGCGGGACAAGGAATATGGATTATAATTTAAACTAGAATGGGTGGCCAGGCCTTATTTAGAGAATGACATTTGATAAAGAATTAAAGAGAGTGAGAGAATTAGCCATGCTGATATCTGGGGGAAGAGTTTTCATAGAAGAGGGAACAGAAAATGCACAGGTCCTAAGGCAATAGTGTGAATGGTGTATTTTGGGATTAGCCAAGGAGGCCAAGTGGCTGGGAGAAGAAGAAGAATAGAAGATCTTGGACCGGAAAGGACCTTATTGGATGGGCCTTATCGGACAAATAAGGGCTTATAACAGTGCAGTGGGAAGCCATTGGGGATTTGAGCAGAGGAGTGATAAGATGTAACTGCAGTTTTAAAAGGATCACTTTGGTTGCTGTGTTAAGAATTAACAAAAGAAGAGAAGGAGGGAAGGAGGGAGTCTGTTGTAATAATCCTGGTGAGAGATGATGGTGATTTGTTCTAGGGTGCTAGCAGTGGAAGGGGTGAGAAGTGGAAAGATTCTAAATATATGTTTGAAGGCAGAGCCAAGAGGATTTCCTGGTTGGATGTGGGGTTTGAATGGGGAAGTCAAGGATGCCTCTAAGGACTTTGGCATGAAAAAGTTAGAAGAATGAGGGAAGAGGAACAACTTTTCTTTAAAAAGGTAATAGGGAAGGGATAACCTGGCACGTAGTCTGGAGAAGGTGTTTTCAAACCTGGATTTGCAGAACCACCACCTAAGAAACTTAAAAAAAAAATCCAGACTCCATCCTGGAGATTCAGTAGGTCTAGGGTAGACCCGGCGAATGTCTTGTGTATTTTTTTTTTAAAACCAAGTTACTCTGGTTATTCTGATACAACATGACTTTTCTGACAACCCAATATATTGTCACCCAATCTGTAGCAATGTAGTTGTACGTGTGTGTTCATTCATGGGTGGGTGGGGGGAGAGATACATATTACTGAAAAAAGGCTTCATGCAACAATAGTTCCCCTTACTACATACAGTGCATTCAGATATTTTCCACTGAGTCTTATCTATTCTATTTTTATCTATTTTACTTTTTTAAAGATCGCTAGCCATACACGTATTTCATTAAATTGATTTCATGACACACTAGTGGGTCATAATATGAAAAATAATGCTAAAGAAGACCTCCTTTGCAGATACAGCTCTGCCACTATTTCTCCGTTTGACCTGTGAACTCACTTTTCACTAGATGGTTGTAGACTTTTTTTAGTATGAAAATTTCATGAGTCTATTAGTTGTACTACCTAAACGATATCACCCAACTGCTGAAATCTAAAAATTGGCCAGAAAGATATTTTTTCTTTGATCAAAGTCTGATCAACACCTCTCCTCAGCAAACAAGAGGTGTAAAAACCATCAGTAAAAAATGAAGCCTTTGTTTCTTTTTGTAGTGGAGATTTCTTCAGGAAGGCCCAGTTGGCATTGTGTTTGAAGCATTTCCAAAGCAGATAAAGAAGGGTAGCTGATGCCAATTAAATACTTTGAGAGGTTTCTTAAGTATAAAAGATGAATTTCTTCTCACACAACCCAGATTATTTTCTAAATAATTATAAAAGTTTATGGAAACATGCCATCTTCCAATGTGTCTTTTTTTATTTTCATTTTTTTATTTTGCCCTTTAAGAAACCATACAATATTGTACAATGGAATGTTGAAAATAGCAATTTTAATTCTACAACTATTACTGGAAAATTTGGGGGTCATTGGACTGGTTTTGGGGGAAAAAATGTTTTTGTAGAAGTAATTTAGGCTTTTTTTCCCAACCCACAAATGATATCTTCATTTTGCCAGCTTCTTGGAGAAAACTGGTAATTTTTGAAAAGTTTGTATTCAGTATTTACCTCATCTGAACTATTAGGTTGTCGGAAAAGTCATGACGCATTTTTGCAACAAAAAATGTAGAAAAAATACATCTTGACTTTTCCGACCAACCAATATAACAAACACTGAATTTAAAACAAGCAAACAGTGACCTTCATTAATTCCAACTCAGGATTCATTTTCTTCCTCAGTCAAAAATAATTGTAAGCTTGTTTTAATCTACAAAGAAATTTGTGCATTTTAATATAACTTTGTTAGGAGTGTCTGAACAGAGTACCAACATATTTTGAGAGACTTAACTTAAACTTAACTGTTTCCACAGGCATTTCAGTGACTATCCCTAAAGTCATTGTAAGAGGTGATACTGAAAAATTCTTCCTCAAAATTTTATAAGTAATCAGCATTCAAGGGAAAGGTTTTAGATAGTGTTTTTAGAAATTGACTAGGACTGAAAATCAGAGGAAGGCATCTAGAACATTTTGCTCTATGGCAGACACGAAGCATTCTTTTTTACCTGAGTGATACTAGTGTTGCTGTGTACTGATCAATGGCTTCTCAGGGTTGGAGAGGGTCTGTGAAGTTATCTAATGTCATTTTCTACCCAAGGCAGAGATTCTGTGTGTAGCATCCTAGAGATAAGACTTAGTACTTTTCTAGATGGTATGGGGTGCACAAAAGCAAGAGCAATGTTAGAGGCAAAGAGACAATAATTACTATATGAGTTCAGAAGGAGATATTTCTGATTGGGTCATCAGAGATTCTTCCCAATGGAGGTGGCTCAGAAACAGGAAGTTACTTGGAAATGATGGGTAGAATTTCACTTGAGAGAAGGCCTGGCCCAAGCAAACATGTGGAAGTTAGAAAGCACAGGGTGTGTTTGAAGAAGTGAAGTCTCAGTATAATCATGTTAATTGTTTTCCAGTAGCATTGCAATCACTCCTGGAAGAACATAATTGCAAGACAGCAGGCACACTCTTTGTAGCACATCCTCATTGTAAATTATATTTACTATTATGCTTCAAAATATTTTTGTTAGCAAACATTTGCATTAAAAAGATGCATGTCTGTATTACCTACATGAAGTTTGACTTCATATTGGTAAATTTTAAAATTTGAAACAAATGCTTTTATTATGTACAGACACGGGGAACATGGAGTTGCTGCACCTCTATGGAAATGAAAAGCAGAAGCAGCAGTGGCTTGAGCCTCTTCTTCAAGGGAGCATTGCCTCCTGCTTCTGTATGACAGGTAACAGCAAATCGCTGTTCTCCCTCGTGCAATCAGTCATCCCAGAGTTACTGTGGATGAACTGAAGAAATGTGGGGTGTGGCTCTGTATGTCAGGCAAATTTGCCCATGGCCAGAAATGTGAGTATGTTTGTTTGGAGCCCAGTTTTAAAGTTTGGCATTACTTAAAGGGCAGAACAAAATTGTCCTCCCTTTTGAGAGGACATCAGATGATATTTGCTGGTAGCCTACTTTGGGCATTAGCAGCGTAAACCTAGTTTCATGATCTTTTGACTTGCATTTCTAAAATTGCCATCTGTGGATATTTAAGATCTTTTTTGTTCTTATGTATGAAATATTCATTTTTGTGATAATTTTATATTGATACTTATAAAATACTCAACTCTGCACAAACCCAGAAAAATAGAACTTGCACCAATGCTGATAATATAGCTCAAGTTATACTTATGTGGGGAAATAAAACTAGGAGCATATTAATAAAAATACGTTTGGTAACATTTGTCCATAGGAAATAGTAATTAAGAACTTTTCAAAGGATCAAGTCATCATTTCATAACTGAGTTTAGAATTAAACTAAATTTCATTTGGCCATAATTTTGGCCAGATTTTATTGTCCTCTGTAACACTGCATACATTTATAATAGCAAAACTGATCTCCATTTAAAACAATAAGAGACATTTATTGAACACGTGCGGTATGATGCGTTATCTACAAAGCACTAATTTGAGGTTACAAAATAATTCGAGTACATAGTTCCCTTTCTAAAGTAACTGAGTCCTGGGCAGCCGGATGGCTCAGTTGGTTAGAGCACGTGCTCTTAACAACAAGGTTGCTGGTTCAACTCCTGCATGGGAGGGTGGGCTGTGTCACCCCCCACCCCCACCCCCTGCCCACAACTAGATTGAAAGCAGTGACTGGACTTGGAGCTAAGCTTGCGTTTTCCACAACTAAGATTGAAGGACAACAATTTGACCTGGAGCTGATGGGTCCTGGAAAAACACAATGTTCCCCTTCCCCAATTCCCCAACACTGTTCCCTTTCCCAATTCCCCAATACGGTCTTTAAAAAAATAAAATAAAATAAAATAAAGTAACTGAGTCCCTAGTTTTAGAAATAGAACACATGAAATAGCTGAAGGACCCATTTAAAAGAGCAACATATTAACACGTGCAGATTACTATGACTGAGAGCTAGCCTATAAATTCTAAAGTGCCCTGCACTAAAGCAGTCATGTAAGAGTGTCCCATGGAAAACTTTCTGAAGATGCTAAGTGTTGAGCAGGCTTTATAGAATGCAAAATAAATCAGTGAAAGCATTCCTGATGGACTTTGCCAGGCACAGTTAGAAACTATTTAAGATAGTAAACTGCATGATGGTGAGACCTGGTTTGCAGGTGTTTAGTACAGATTTCCATTATCGGAAGAACAATATTTTTAATCTACTTTTGATGATTGGAGAAAGGATTGAGTTGTATCCCAAGTCAGGTATCAATGAGAAAACCAAGAATACCATTCAGATTGCTGGTTCCCAATGTTCTAAATACCTCATTCATTCTTCCAATACACAGTTATTTTATTGAATACCTACTATGTGTAGGCTCTGGGGGAACTGGAGTGGAATGGGGGAAGGATAGGAAGAGGAAAAAAACAAAGATGTTCTCTCTGTCCTCAAACAGTTTGTATTTCTTTATCTAAGTCTCTTTTGTAAACTGATTATATCTGCCTTCCTGTAAATTCAGCCTCTGCTTGTTTATAGAGCCTGATGTCGCATCCAGTGATGCCACGAATATTGAATGTAGCATCCAACGAGATGGAGATAGTTACGTAATTAATGGCAAGAAGTGGTGGAGTAGCGGTGAGTATTCCGATGGATCCTTTGTGCTGGATGCTGTGCTAGAATAATACGATACATAGTGAATAGTTTCATGATCTATTTAAATTCTGCCTTTGAAAGCATTTTCAGATTTACAAACAGTTGATAAAAAAAAGTAATTTAAAATAACATGTCTTGATTGGGTGATGTTTATTTTAAGAGCAGAAAGTGTCTTTTTCTTTTACAGTTTTGTGAAAGATAAAATTCAAGTTAGTGCACAATATTTTTCACTATTGTAATTTCTATCAAATTAAATTTTAACAGGAACATATAACATGGACTGTAGTAATTTATGTATAATTGTTTTGAAAGTGAGAAGCTATATGTGTTATTAAAAACCATTGTGGTACATATTTTCATTGCTTGAAAATACAAATGTCTAAGTGAAAAATAAGAATCTGTATACATAGAAAAATAACACTGTTTAGTCAACCCTCAGTAACAAACTCACACAAATGAATGGACCTTTTAGAAAGTGATAAAAATTGGAACCTAGTTAAATATGATTACCTGAGGTTTGCTTTTAGAGTACACATGATAAATCTAACAAGACAGCCAGTTTATTACTAAAGGAAGTTGACATATAAAAGCACATTATGTGTTTAGAAACTTACCAGGAATGTATTAAAAGGGCCAGAAAAGCTTTTTATGTATATTTTTTTGTTAATTGTTATTCTTTCTGGAGTTTTATGAAATCACTTACAAATTAAGAAACAGGTAAAGAAAGATAGAATAAATTTTGCCATATAGTTATTCAAGTACTAAAATTATGCAAGGAAATCATTCTTATATTAAAATTTAGATAATTTAAAATAATTATAAATGACCTTTAATATAAGCCTTTTCATTAATGAATGTTTTAGATGGCCTTAACTTAGAAGCTTTTATTACTTATGCTTACTGCTATTTTCCAATATTGTTCATTTTAATTTTCATTTCTATGCATTATTTTGTTTCCTCTTCTTCTTGGTTTCTACCTTTCTTCCCCTCCTCATCTCAACCTCTTCTCTAAGTTGCCACTTCAGTGTTTCAGATTTGAGTTTCAGAATAATGCAGCTGTTTTATCTGAAGAAGAAGCATCATTTTTGTGTATCGAAGCAAGATAGGGCAGTTTTACATTTAAATGCTCAATGTACTGGTTGGCTCTGTAGGAACTTCAGAATCAAATGGAATTTCCTCCACATTTTGTCTTTGTCTTCTCCAGGACCCATATTTCTTGGCAGCTTTCATAATGTAGTTTTTAAAAGAGGATCCCATAAAAACATATAGGACTGGGTTTAGGCAGCTGTGAAAGAGTGCAATGCTCTCTGTGACTTGGATGGCCACATCCATGCGTTTGCTCATGTCACAGTCGGTGATCAGGAAGTAGATGATGTCTATAGCTTGGCAGAACTTGACAATGTTGTAAGGCAGCTGAGTGACAATGAAAACTATTACCACTGTGAGCAGAACTTTGAGGGGTCGAGATTTTTTAATGTTTGGCATCTTGATGAGTGTCCTCGCCGTGATAAAGTAGCAGACTCCCATAATGAGAAAGGGTATCACAAATCCAAAGCAGATTTCCAGCAGCTGAATCGATGCTTTCACTGATGTTCCCAGGTGGTGTGGAAAGGTGGGAATGCACCTCGCCATGTGATTTACTGTATAAAAAACCAGCTGAGGTACACTCAGCAAGATGGCAGCCATCCAGACACAGAAACAGATGATCAGGCATGGTCTTCCCACTCCTGAATGACTGGGGGCTTTAGTTACTGCCCAATATCTGTCTATGCTGATACAAGCCAGGAACTGCATTCCAGAGACAAAATTGACTGTGTACAAGGCTGAAGTGACCTTGCACATGATTTTCCCTAAAACCCACCCATGAACTGCATTAACTGCCCAGAAAGGCAGAGTGAACAGAAGGAGTAAATCTGCCACCGCCAAATTCAGGATGTACACATCTGTTTTGGTTCTCTGCTTCTTGTAACAGGCATAAATCACCACTACTATGGAGTTGCCTGCAATTCCAATGATGAAAGCTATTGTGAAGAAGGCAGGCAAGAAAACTTTTGCAAAATTTCTGACCTCCTCTTTAATGCAGATCAGTTCGTATTGACTGTAGTCATGAGTGCCGTTTATTTCACTTTCCTCATAATAGTAATCTATTGAGTGGTTGTGTTCCAAAGCCATGGCTGCAATCTGCATGGCAAAAAAATACAGGTTATTCATTTTAATATTGCTTAAAAGGAAACACTTTTTATTTAGCATATGTTTTGTTCTTTTACTAGAGAATACATTGTTGTCACAACATACATGAGCCTAAATCTGCCATCCTTTGAAACCCTTTAACAGAAGTCACACTGGAGTATATACCCAAGACTAGTTTTTCATCCTTTGTTTTTACAAGCCTGTGTGTAGGAACTGGGATTTACACAGGGAAACTAAATATAATCCCCTGGGGCATTTTCTTAATCTGTAAACCCTAAATGAAAGTAGTGACTTTTTTGTAAAAATAGTTTTTAAAATATGAAATTACCCTGTAGTATTGTAAGATAAGCTTACACAGAATTCAAAAGTTTTAAAATGTATTCAATAATGACTGTCAGTGTTTTTAATATAGTGCTGAGTTTTGTTTTGCTTTTTCCTTAGCTTTTCTGTCTCCCTTTGGTTATTTTTGTCCTTGGAAGAATCTCAAATATTCTTACATAATCATTAATGAAAATATTGTTGTCAGAACCGTGTGTCAATTTATGGTGCATTTTTAAGAGAATACTTGCTAATCCTTTTTGGATGAGTAAAGCAAAGTGAAGAAGGTCCCCTGAGGAAAGATACAACATAAAAGAACTACTTTCATTATGTAAAAACCAGGTGCTGACAATTTAAAATGACAACTTTCATCCTTAAGGTTATTTGAAAAGTTCCAGTCTGGAAGATTACTCCAGTTTTCATTTTCTTATGCATTAACTATTGACATAATATGAATTTTGTTCTTTCCTTCTCTTTGATCACAGAAATCTTGAACCTGGCGATAAGGAATAGTGGAAGATAATAAGGGAGGATATTTTAAAATAAGAATTAATCTTACTAAAAATGTACATAAGTAAAAGTAGGAATGGAAATTATTTTCAGAAATGATCCTCTGGCAGTTACATAGAAACACATTTAGATGTCTTTATAATTATTACAAGAATGAAAAAATTAGTGTTTGTAAAACAAAGCAAAAAAATAGTATAGCAAAACCTATTTTCTCTTTAAAATTTCATAGCCAGGTAATGGTATTTAAATAATATATTTTCTTCTTGTTATATTCAGGTTTTTTTTTTTGTTTTAAGCTTAAAGTGTATAGCAGTTTTCAAATAGCTCTTTTTTGTACATGTAAACATTTAGACGTACTTTCATGCATCAAGACTCCCTCAGCATAAGTAAATATACAAAGTCTTTAGGCTTTTTAAAAAAAAATCATATTCAAGTCAGAATGAGAAAAGAAAGAAAAAAAACCAACCTGTTTCAGTGGGCAGAGAGGAGCAGCAGTCTTGAGTGCAGAGTGAAATCAAATGACCTCTCTGACTCATGCTACTTTTGTTTTCATTTTATACCCCTGCCTTTGTCTTGTTTCCAAAAGGGCTTTCCTGAAATTCAAGCTTGTGAGCACTTGCTCTTTTATTTCATGTGTAACCATTCTGTGAAATCAAACCCAAGTTCTTAAGCTTCCTAGGATACAAACCTGAAAGAATTCCATCTTGTTTCAGCTGCAGAGCTTTCACAGTTTCCACTTAGCCAAAGGCAACCAAAAAGGAACTGACTGCGACCCAAAAGAATTCACCGGAGAGCATCAAGGCAGCTAACAAGCACTTGTAGGCAGCATCTAGAGAAATGCTCTCCCAAGTTATTTTGCCTACGAAAAAACCCTAAAATTATTTTAATCCAGAAAGATATCTTTCTGAAGACTAAATTATCAAAGACTAAATTCTAAGGAATCATTAGGCACATAGAGGATTTAATTGTTTTATGCCACATTAACATTTTACTTCAACTATTAGACTCTTCTTGGCTTCACTGTACTCCTCCGCCCCTGATCCCGGAGTGTGCCTTTCCCATGACTTGAAACTCTCTTGCCTTCTTGTAACCTTCTCCTTCAAAGACCAGCGTCCAGTCCTACGTCTGAATGGGTTGTTTATTTTTCCCACATTTCCAAACAAGTGAAAATTAAAGAAGAGAAATGTATACAGATTTAGCCCTTGAGGTTTATTTGAACTTGACTCTCCTCAAATTTGCATAACAGTTTCCTTATTCTATATTCACGCAAGGCTGGGCTCAGTCTTCACCTGCAGAAGTTATTTCAGACCCATGTCATTTTTTTCTCCAAGCAATTGCTCTGACTCATTGTGTACTAGCATGTTATTTAGCTTCCAAATGTTTTTCAGTGTTTTTCTTGTAATTGAGTTCTAGTTTTATACCATTGTGCTCAGAGAAGACGCTTGATATGATTTCGGTCTTCTTAAATTTATTGAGACTTGTTTTATGGCCTAACATGTGGTCTATCTTGGAATATGTTCCATATGCACTTGGAATAGAATGTGTATTCTGCTGCTTTGGGGTGAAATATTCCAAAAAATATCAATTAAATCTATCGGGTCCAATGTGTCATTTAAGGCTACTGTTGCCTTGTTGATTTTCTGTCTGGTTGATCTCTCCATTGATGTCAATAAGTTATTAAAGTCCTCTACTCTCACTGTATTACTGTCAATCTCTCTCTTTATATCCATCAACATTTGCTTTATATATTTGGGTACATAAATATTTACAAAGGTTTATAGCCTCTTGTTGGATTTATCCCTTTATCATTATGAAATGTCCTTCTTTGTCTGTTGTTGTTGTTGCCTTTGTTTTAAAGTCTTTTTTTGTCAGGCATAAGTATTGCTAACTCTGCTTTTTAAAATTTCCATTTGCATGAAATATGTTCTTCCATCCCTTTACTTTCTGTCTGTGTCTTTTGCTCTCAAGTGAGTCTCTTATAGGCAGCATATGTATGGGCCTTGTTTTCTTATCCGTTCAGCCATCCTATGTCTTTTGGTTGGAGATTAATCCATTTACATTTAAAGTAACTATTGATAGGTATGTAGTTATTGCCATTTTATTGTTTTTTGATTGTTTTTATCTGCAAACTGGAAGTCTACAAGAGATATACAAGAAATAAAAAGAAAGGAATCTGAACACAAAACTACAAAAAGTCATAAACATACAGAAGAAGACAGCAAGAGAATAAGAAAGAGGGTGCCTGGGTCTACAGCAGACCTCCGTCTCTCCCTGACAGGGTCCCCATTGATTTTCACAGCCAGATACTATGGGACTCATCTTCCTGACACTGGTGCTCCAGGTTGGGGAGCCTGGTGTGGGACCAGGATCCCTCACTCCTCAGGGGGGACCTCTACAGTAGAGATATCCCTCCTGATTCTTAACCACCACAAGTGGTGTGGGACCAGCCTGTTTTATGTCTCCACCCTTATTACCAGTTTGGATGTGGATCCTTCTTTATATACTTAGTTATGCAAGTTCTGTTCAACTAGTCTTCAGCTAGTTCTCAAGGGTGGTTGTTCTATAATTTAGTTGTAATTTTGATGTGGGAGGAAGTGAGCAACAGTGTTTACCTAGGCCACCATCTTGACCAGAAGTTGATGCTATACTTCTTTACTGACTAGTCTATAACTGCAGCCTCCATAATTAGCAATTAACATAATCGCTTCAATCCATCAATATGGTATGTATACACAATACTGATTTGTGGGCCTTTGCTGTTGCTATCACTCTTATCTAGACAACTCCTCACACTTCACTTTAGCTCCCTAACTCCTATTTAGGATTCAGATTTAGGTCTGACTTTAACATAACTTAATCCTTAACCCTTCTAGATTAGATCGGATATACATACTCTTGACACCAATAGTACTATCTCACTCCGTTGCTAGTACTTATTAAAACATTCTATCTTCCATAGCAATCTTGTATCCTACTGTATCCTCAGCATTAACTTTGTGCCTTACTCATTGTACCAGCTTACTCAATAACAATTAAATACATAAATGAATCAATCAATCAATGGATCAGTCAGTGTTTAAGGAACTTCTCCACAGACTTGTAAGTTTAGCAATAGAGCTGGAATTTTGTTTGTTTGTTTGTTTGTTTTTAAGCTGAGCCATCCTGCCACCTGTTGGCAGCTCAGCAACTGCTCAGCGGCTGCTCAGCTCGGGCCGGGAATCGAACCACTGTTGTTCAAAGCTCAAACTCTTGAGTGAGCTCTTAACCAACTGAGCCACTCAGTCGGCCCCACAGAGCTGGAATTTTGGATTCAGATCTTCAGTCTTAGACTACTTCCATTTTATAATACTATGTACTATCTCTTACACATCTTAGTTATTTATGGATTATCATAATTTGCCCCTTTCAACTATTATAGGACTTTTAGAATGTTTCCAATGTTTTGCTATCATAAATGATGTTACAGAGAGCATATTTGTAGATATTGTGGGAAACTGAACTTAATCTAATCTAATCTTACTAATAAGTATTGAAGAATATGACTGTGTATAACTATCCTTTTTTGTTTGTTTTTTTTACACAAAAGATAGCATTCTTACTATTCACACTGGAGAATAATCTTAAAGTTCTTTCAGATAAGTGCATAGAAAGCTTCCCTGTTCTTTTTTGGAAAGGTTCCATTATATGGACATACTGCAGTATATTTAAATAGTCTCCTATTGATGTATATTGGACCATGCCCAATTCTTTGCAAGTACAAACATTAGTACTGCAATGAATAATCTTGAGTGTCTGTCATTTTATTCAGGAATAAATCTATCTGTAGGCTAAATCTCAGAGGTTGAACTGATAGATCAAAGAGTAAATGAATCTATGCTTTTGTTGGATAGTGCCAAGTGTCCTCCATACAATGTATTACCATGAACTCCCACCAAAAATGTATGCAAGTGTCTGTTTCCCTAGAAGTTAGCCAATAGAATGTTATTTGTTGACCACTTTGCTTTTTAAGTGACGTATAACAGATTCAATACTCCTCCCTGCCTTTCCCAGCCATGTGTGAAATATTTTCCTCATTTTTTTTTGCTTTTTAATTGTTTTTTAATGTATAATAATTTTTTATTTTTTAAGATTTTATTGGGGAATCGGGGAAGGGGAACAGACAAGTTGCTGTCCTTTTGTTCTTCAGTTTAGTTGTAGAGGACGTTGCTTCACTGGCCCATGTTGGTATTATGATTGCGCTCTTCCTGGCTGAGGCAGATCGCTCGCCGGCCATTGGATGGCTGCTCATGGTGGCTCACGGCAGCTCACAAAAGCGCATGCCAGCTGCCAGCCAACCCCAGTGCAGACTACGCCTTCGCTGGCAACTCACGGCAGCCCAGCTCCAGGTTGAGCTGTTGTTCGCCATCTTAGCTGTAGAGGGCACAGTATCACTGGCCCTCATATGGGATCTGAACCCAGGCCCTGCTGCTCAGAGCTGGTGTCCCAAGCCAACTCTTAACCAATGTGCCACTTGGCCGGCCCTAATGTATAATAGTTTTATATAGACAAACCAACTAATCTTTTTCTTTTGATTTCATTTATCATTTTTTTAAGGTTTAAACTTTCTTTCCCATCCAGAGATTTCTTAAATATGAAAGGATCTTTTCTTCTAGTTTTTTTATGGCTTAAATTAAAAAGAAATTTCAATTCCGATCTATTTGGAATTGATTTTGATCCAACCATATTCTGTGACAACAGCAACAGTAGCAGCAGCATGTAACATTTATTGAATACTTATTAGATTTAAACCTTCCTAAGAGTAGAGCAGGTGAACTTAAATGGGTGAGACTGGTGGGGTTTTTTAACTGTATGACTGTATGATAAACATCATTTTTAACAAGTAGAAATTTCATTGTAAAATGGTATTTAACTCCTAATTGTTTTGTAAATTTGAATTAAAGCTAATATTAGTTGTAAAGCTAAGACCAAGTGAAGTTTTTCACCTCAGAAATTCAATGTTGGTAGAGGAAATAGCCTTGAGACTTTGTGAATGGCGAACTGTGCTTCATATTATGTAATTATTTACATCACTTTATTGTTATAGACCACATCCATATCCAACAGTCATGTTTTTTTCTTACCTGTCATCTTTCTTTGTGTTAAAGAATGATTTTGTTTAATAACCATGTGGTTTGTAAGAGCCTAAGAAATTAAAATTCATCAGCAAATATCAGGGAAATGTCACTTTCATCCATACTAATCCTGGCACTTGAACAGTCTTAAAATACTACAGAGTCTGGATTAAAAACAAAATTATTTTATCTATGCCATCTGTTTTCATTCACAAAGGTCTGTGACATAGCAGATGTATTTAAACACTTTCTGGTCTATTAAGATTTCCTCTAATATATTTCATTTATGACATTTGGTATCCTGTCCATTAATTAAAATAATATAAAAGAGCAAAACTCTTTTTAAAAGAAAGATATTTCAGCTGCTGTACCTGCCAAATTCTACTTGTAGCTGAGATGATGTATTTGTGAGGGTTTTTCCCATTTTCTGAAACATCAAGGTTAAATCAAAATATTTCAAAGTCTACAACCTACGTATCCACCCTTACTTCCTCT